AACAGGCATATTCTAACATAAATTCCATAACATGCAGCTACATCCTTATTCAAAAATCATGATTATAACCCCCACTCAGGTCAAGTTTCCAAGCTCCCAAAAAGCTCCAAGCGATTGAGATTCTAAGTGTTTGAAAAGGGGGGTTCAAGAGTGAGAGAAAGCAAAAGTCCTTGGAGGGGTGAGAGAGGTAGTATTTATAAACCAAGAGGGGGAGGCAACTGACATGTGGCAACCAAGGGGCTACAAGTGGCATCCATATGGCATCCAAGCGACTGACAAAGGCATACAAGTGGCATCCAAGTGACCGACAAGCACCATAAAGCACTCATGGAAGAACACTCACGACGTCATCGCGCACGACAGCATCACGCGAACAGCGGCATCACGCACACGACAGCGCTCTCCTTCTTACTGTCGCGCACGCTCACTCTCTTCTTCTCTCTTACTACTGCGCGCTCACTCTCTTCTTCTGTCTCTTGCTGTCGCGCGCTCACTCTCTTCTTCTGTCTCTTGTTGCCTCACGCTCACTCTCTTCTTCTGTCTCTTACTACCACGAGCTCACTCTCTTCTTCTGTCTCTTACTGTCGCGTGCTCACTCTCTTCTTCTGTCTCTTATTGCTGTGCGCTCACTGCCGCACACGGTGGTGCACACTATTCTACGCACGACGACACTCACGCACAGCCGACCGTCTTTTCTTTTCTCCCTTTCCACCGTGCACTGCTGTGTTCTTACTATCGCGCACTTCCTCAAGCCGAAAAATCTCGTTCCTTACATCACCCCCCCGCCCTTAAAATGATTTTGTCCTCAAAATCATATTTCTATTAATCGAATAAATGGGGGTATTTATCTCGGATTTCATCTTCCCGTTCCCAGGTCGATTCTTCCTGTGAATGGTATTGCCACAAAACATGGACCAAAGGAATTTCTTTATTGAGCAACACCTGCACTCTTCGATCCAGTATCTCAATAGGTTGTTCAATGAAGGTTAGGACTTCTCTAATTGGAATCAATTCATGTCTCAGAACATGTGATGGGTCGGGCTGAGACTTCTTCAATAGAGATATATGAAAGACATTGTGGACGTTCGCCAACTCTGTTGTAGGGCAAGTCGATAAGACACGCTTCCCACCTTTTCCAGAATCTCAAAAGGTCCAATATAGCGTGGGCTCAACTTTCCTTTCTTATCGAATCTCATAACGCCCTTAATTGGCGACACCTTCAAAAATACCTGATCACCCACCTCAAACTCAAGATCTCTTCTTCGGTTATCGGCGTAACTCTTCTGCCGACTCTAGGATGTTCTGGAGCCTTTCTTGAATCAAAGCAATCTTTTCTGAGGTCACGTGAACAATTTATGGCCTTAAAAGCCTCCTTTCACCAATCTCAGCCCAACAGATAGGTGACCTACACTTTCCTCCCATACAAGGTCTCAAAAGGCGTTATCTGAATACTGGCTTGGAAGCTGTTGTTATAAGCAAATTCTATCAGAGGCAAATGATCATCCCAGCTTCCCTTAAAGTCAGTAACACAAGCCCTTAATATATCTTCCAAAGTCTGAATGGTTCTCTCTGATTGTCCATCAATCTGGGGTAAAAAGCAATGCTGAACGTAATTCTTGCCCCCAAGGCTAACTGCAGACTAGCCCAAAATCTCGAGGTAAATCTAGTGTCCCAGTCGAACACGATGCTAACAGCTATTCCATGCAACCTCACTATCTCTTTGATGTATAACTGGGCCAATTATCCAAGGTATAGGTTGTGCGGACCGATAAAATATGGGCGCTTTGGTCAGTCGGTCCACAACGACCCAAATACTATCATGCCCGTTCTAGGTAAACCAAAGACAAAGTCCATAGTGATGTGTTCCCATTTTCATTCTGGCACGGGTAAGGATTGTAACAATCCGGCAAGCTTATGATACTCAGCTTTCACCTGCTGGTATGTCAAGCACTTAGAAACAAACAGTGCTACTTCCCTGTTCATGTCATTCCATTATAAAGTTTTCTTCAGGTCCTGATACATTTTAGTACTCCCGGGGTGAATGGCATAACAAGAGCGGTGAGCTTCTTTTAAAATAGCTCTCTTCACATCCTCATCATTCGGAACACAAACCCGATCCTTGAATCGTAACAAGTCATCGCCGCTTACAGAGAAATCATCTTTCCTTCTCATCTTTATTTCATCCAGAATTTTCATGAGCTGGGAATCCTTCTTTTGTGCCATCCAGATATGTTGAAAGAGCTAGGGCTCCACCCTTATGCAAGCGGTCATACTTACCCCGTTAGCAAGGGACAGAGCAGGGTGTCGGTCCACAGCATCTTCTAATAATCTCATCTCTCGAACTAGTAGATGTAACACTGATATTACGGGCTTTCTACTTAAGGCATCTACTACCACATTAGTCTCGCCTGGGTGGTAATTGATGGTACAATCATAATCATTCAATAAATCAATCCATCTCCTTTGCCTCATGTTCAACTCCTTCTAAGAAAATAGGTACTTGAGGCTTTTATGGTCCGTAAATACCTTAAACTGGGCCTTATAAAGGTAGTGCCTCCAAATTTTCAAGGCGAATACTACAACCACAAGCTCCAAGTCATGAGATGGGTAATTTTGTTCATACAGCTTTAACTGTCTTGAGGCATAAGCAATGACCTTCCCTCACTGCATAAGCACACATCCAAGCCCTTTGTGAGAGGCATCGGTGTAAACCACAAAGTCCTCATTTCCTTCGGGTAAGGTCAATATCAGAGCCGTAGTCAGTCTCTTCTTTAGTTCTTGAAAAATTTTCTCACAATCAACTGACCACACAAATTTTACTTGCTTCTGGGTTAGGGGAGTCAAGGGAAATGCTATTTTTGAAAATCCTTCTACAAAGCGTATACAGTAACCTACTAATCCCAAAAAACTGCAGACCTCTGTCACGCTTGTCAGCCTTCCCCACTTAAGCACGGCTTCAATCTTACAAGGGTCAACTGCGACCCCGTCCTTAGAAACAACGTGCCCAAGGAAGGCCACACTAGGAAACCAAAACTCACTCTTGCTCAACTTAGCATACAACTTTTTTTACTTCAGAGTCTGGAGGACCACTCTTAGATGTTGCTCATGCTCTTCTACGTTCTTCGAATACACCAAAATATCATCTATGAAGACCACAACAAAAGTATCCAAAAAGGGTCTGAAAATTCTATTCATCAAGTCCATGAAAATAGCTAAGGCATTGGTCAACCCAAACAGCATGACCAAAAACTCATAATGGCTAAATGCGGTCTTGGGAACATCTCCCTCCTTGACCCGCAGTTGGTGATAGCCTGACCGGAGATCATTCTAAAAGAAAACTTGAGCCCCTTGAAGCTGGTGAAGAGGTCGTCAATTTAATCTCCATAACTCTCAAATTCTTTAATTGCTTGTCCAATTAATACAATTGAGGAATTCCTTTAAGAAAGTAGGATGTTTCTCACAAACCTAACCTAGCTCTTCTCATTAAATTTTTTTTAATTTGTGTCATTTGCAAAATCTGTGGATGTTGTTAAGGAATACTCGAGCAATAGCACCTTGCATGGCCTTATCATGATTGGTGATTATTGTAGTTGGATGTTTACCATGCACTGTTGAAAGCCATGTCTCAAATAACCAAACAAATGATGATTCTAATTCATCTCCTAAAAGTGTGAGACCAAACAATGTAGAATGTACGTGGTGGTGGATTCCAATAAAAGGGGCGAAAGACATTTTAAACTTATTAGTTTTATAGGTTGTATCAAAACGTCAGTACACCCCCAAAACAATGGTAGGCATTCCTTAACCAAGCATCAGCCCAAAAAGTATTGTCCAATGATCATTAGCAGTTACCTCGATTGCATAAACGAAGGAAGGATTCTCACTTTGTATACCCTTCAAAAACTCCAGAAGTAATTGAACATCATCATTAAGACTTCTCTTTTGAAGCTTTTTGAGCTCATTTATGCAGTCACGGTCCATGAAAACTACATTATAGTCACCACCAGATTCCACTCTACAGACATTCATGATCTTATTAGTAGGAATCCCAGCTATATGTAAGGTATAGATGATGCTTCTTTTATATTGAGATATTCTCCGACGCTTTGATGATGCTTCTTTTATATTAAGATATTCTACGATGCAATCGATGGTGATGCACCTTACTTGGCTCACAAATACATGATTATGATTTCTGCCAAACCGTATAACGACCTACTTGTGATTTGTTTACATATTTTCATCATTGCTTTGCAACCAACTCTTCTATTTGATATCTTTCTAGTAGGTTTTCCATCATCACTTTTACTTGTACGACAAAATCTTTCTCTTGAACATAAAAATGGCGAAAGCGCATGACCCCATATTTGCATGAGAAATCCAATTTTTTCCCTCAAATCTTAGGAATTTACGAAATTGAAATTAGCAAATCCCTGAATATGCATCATATAATAATTTGCCAAAATTGAAATCCAATTTTTTCCCTCAAATCTCAGGAATTTACGAAATTGAAATTAGCAAATCCCTGAATATGCATCATATAATAATTTGCCAAAATTGTTAATCAATAGAGAGCACCCAATTGCAGAGCCAATTCCATGTTACCCCATAAACTAAATTCTAATCAAATTTCCATGCATATCAACTAAGAACAAAGCAAGAATACTCCCAAAAAAAAGGGCTACAACATTAGTTTTTTATTTTATTTTAGCATTTTAAGCAATTCTTTTTAACCATCTGAGCATATGCTCATCTTGGATTCGTATATAAAACTCAAACAATCAGAAGACCTATGAGCCATGATGTTTGAAGAGAAATTGGACACCATTAGAAAGAGAAATTGGAAGAGATAATACTGAAAAAGAGAGATATCTATTAAAATCAAAAAAAAAATTCAGAGAACCCTAATTTCAGAAATCCCTGAAAAGCCTAGTTTGGATAAACATTCTAAACCCTAACAGTAAGCCCTAACTGAGAGAGAAAGAGAGAAGCAATTGTACCTTGGAGTGGAAGAAAGGTGGCGGTTGTTCATGGCTATGAGAGAAGAATCACAGAGAGAGGACCCGCAGAGAGGTGGCGGTTGTTCGTGGCTATGAGAGAAGAATCACAGAGAGAGGACCCCACAGAGAGGTGGTGGCTTTTAGTGGATGCGAGAGTGGAGGCACAGAGACAAATGGCCATTCGAGGCTGTGAAATAGGAGCCACAGATAGCGGTGGCGCTGCTGTGAGTGAAGGATTTGGGGCCGAAAGAGGTGGTGGCGAGATAGGGCGAAGAGAGAGAGGAGTGGAGGCGAGTGGAAGAGAGAGAAAATGGTTAGGTCTCCGGTGAGATTGGCAAGGGGTTTGAATGGGGGCCATTCTTGATGGAGAGAGAGCGTTAGACGTACACCGCAAACAGGCACAGGGGGAATCAGGTTTTTAAGAGATGAGAAAGGAGAAATTGTGCCAATTTTGCCGTTGAGATGCAAATCCCATTTTTGAAATTTGAATTTAAGAGTCAACAGTTATTCTTTGGGTTCTATTGCAGGTGTCATAGGATAATTACTTTATATTTATATACATGGTGCGGTTTGTATAGAACCCAAGCCGTAAACAATATTGGAAATCTCCTTTCGAACATATTTTCCTTTTTATTAATAAAGTTTAAAGCTTTAAAAATAACGTAAATCAAATAAATCTATGAAAATCTTGAAAATTGACTGTCTAAAATGCATTACAAAATATACTATTTTCAAAACTTGAAATCTATTTTTTTTCTCATATCCATGCATCTTGATGTCAAGATGATCAATTTGAGGACATTTGGGCATCACAACAACCTTTTCTAATGAAATTTTTGTGGTAGGCTCTAATTTGATTGTTTAGAGTCTCATCTCTATATTAACTTTTCCCTTACATATAAGATAGGGTTTGTATAAAGTCTAGGCTATAAACAATCAAATTAGAGCCTACTTTCAAATAGTGCGGAAAAATGTGATTTCAATACTGGAAATCTTTGTGATAGCCTTAAATATATTTTCATCTGTATTTATAAAGCTCAAAGCATCAAAAATAATGTAGATCGATAGATCTTCTAGTGAAAATTTTGAAGTAAGCTCTAATTTGATTGTTTAGAGCCCCGGCTCTATATGAACTTTTCCCTTATATATCTTAGGATGAGGTTTTCATACGTCCATGAAAACAAAATAAAGCCTCACCTCAAATATTCGTCCAAAAAGTACTTTTGTCAACAGAAATCTCCATGATGGCTACAAAATCAATTTCCAACACCGACAATAAAATTCAAAACTTAAAAAATGGTACAAATCTTTCGGATATATGAACACTTATTTTTAAGGTAAAATGAACGGTCTAGATAATTTGTTGCAATATACATTATTTTTAAAACTTGAAATCGTTTCTTTTTTTTCACAACCATAATGTTCAAGCCAAGATTATTGATGTAAAGATTTTTTTAATGCTTAAGTTATAATTTATCTTATGTATATCCGGTTGGATCGGATTGGGTTGACCAAGACCCAATCACAACCAACCCGATAGGCTTCAATTTAGAAACAAACCCAGACCCAAACCAATCGAGTGAAGGTCAAGTGGACAAAGAACCTGTCTATTGGGTCTATTGTCTGGGTCTAAACTTGGACCCAAATCAGGTCCACCTGTGGGGTCCACAGGTCAACTTGCCCCATTTCTCTGAGAAAGAGAGAGTGAGTGAGTGTCCCTTGGGTCAGTGGCTATATGAATTGTTGGGAGACAGGATTGAGGGAAATTTTGATTATGTTTGTGACAACAAAATAGGTAGATAGTGGCGTTTTTTATCCCTCAAAATTAAGTTTGGCCCCAAAGTTGGGGAATCCGCAGGCCGATTCTTTAGCCATAAACTTGATGCCTACTAGTTTGGACAATTAAACGAGGGTGTTTTGTGATCTAGGGTGATTACGATCCTGATTATTTTCGAGTATTTTAGGATGTTACAATGTTTTAGGATGTAAATTACTTTGGATTCCATAATCCCACATTATTGTAGGGAGTTTTGTGAAGGTTGTCAACATGGCCTTAAACTTTTTATCTACCGTGATTCAAATCTATCCCCACTTTATTTATCATCTCCTCTATCCATCTCATATGATGTTTATGGTAGCTCTTGGGTCCTCAAAAGATGTGTTTAAGATATTTTTCTTTAGTGCTTAGGGAATATATAAACCATTGTAATCAAATTCGCTTAGCTTCGACCGAAGAGGTTGAAGCTTTCGGATTTTACGCTTAGACCAAAACGAAGCAAATCTTGGTACTGCCGCTTCGGTCAAATTCGAATCGCTTTGGGTTATTTCTGTCAAATTTGGGTCTGCTTCAGGCCAATTTAATCGAAGCTTCAACCTCTTTGGCTGAAGCAAAGAAATATCTATTTAAAATAAAAAGTGAATTTTTTTTTAATTTTTTCATATTTTTTTATCTCGATATATAAATATCTAATGTATTTATATTAAATTAAAAAAAATTCCGAAATCTTCTTCTGAATTGGCCGAAGTACCGAATTGCTTCATTTTTCTCACCAAACCGAAAAAGACTCCAAAGCGAATCCAACAAATCGAAAAAGACTCCAAAGCGAATCCAACAGCATTGATATTAACTGCATATCACATACCTAAAGCCCAACCAAAACTGAATTTTTCTTTTTAATCGCAGTCAAAATGGTGACCTTTGCTTAATGGTCAAACTAAATGGTCAAAACTAATGAAAAGAACACAAAGCCCCAAAAGGGGGGTAAAAAAAACTCAAACTTCACCAAAACTATATTGACCTTTTTCTTCAATAAAGGACCTAAATCTTGGAAATGTTCTTGTAACTTCGAGGTATTAAAAGCCCATAACTTGGAAAATCCAAGAATCAACCAAAGTGTGATGAGTATACCCAATAATGTAACCTAAGTTTAGCCACTTGGTAATCTTCTATTTCACGACTCTAAACGTTTAGAGAAAATTGCAAATTAAAGTAAGGCAAACTGTCTACAAATTCAGCAAGTATTCATCCACAAAAAATAAAAATGTTTTCTAGAAAATATTTTCAGTTGAAAATGTTTTCTAGAAAATATTTTCACATGAAAATATTTTCTATATGAAAATGTTTTTCAAGAAAATGTTTTCCATGAAATTTCCATGAAAATGTTTTCACATGAAAATGTTTTCACTAAAAAATATTATAGAAAATATTTTCACGTGAACCAAACCTCCTTCATGGAATATTTCATTAAATTCAACTCCTATTTAGTTAAAAGGATGCCTACATAAAGACAATGCAGATTGGATGCATAGATTAAACAAACTTGAGTTAGATGTGAACACTAATTTTACATGAAAAAATGTTTTCTAGAAAATATTTTCACATGAACATGTTTTTTAGAAAATTGTTTTTTAGAAAGTATTTTCACATCAACATGTTTTCTAAAAACTTGTTTTCTAGAAAATATTTTCACATGAAATTGTTTTCCATGAAAATATTTTATGGAAAATATTTTCCTATAAAAACAAAATGTTATCTATAAAATGTTTTCACATGTTTTCTAGTGAAAATGTTTTCATGTGAAAATGTTTTCTAGAAAATATTTTCATATGAAAATGTTATCTATAAAATGTTTTCATATTAAACCGTTTTCACATGAAAATGTTTTCTAAAAAACATTTTTTCAAGTGAAAATATTTTCTAGAAAATGTGCTTTAAATCCCTTCAAAATCCCTAACAAACAAATGGGCTTTAAATTTGATCAACGCCTTTTGGAGAGTTGATCTATGATTCGACCAAGTTCTAAGCTCTATCCGACACCGTTTATAAATAGTCGGTTTGTAAATCAGCCCTATTTTTGGGCAAGTGGCTGCTTGAATGGGGCACCACTGCAATCTTGGGACTTTGAAACCCCGTATCTCAAGTATTCGGAATTGAAATGCCCTGATTTTTGGAGGGAGTCTTGGAGGCATCTCAAATTAAACTTCAGATAATTTTGACAGCGTTTGGACTGTGGATTATCTCCCTCATCCACGTCCATGTGATAGTTCAGTGTCACAATGGCATCCCAAGCTCATGATCTTTGATTGAGATATCAAATTCCACATATGTTGATCATTCTCTCAATTTCACCCTGGTTTGAGACTATTTCAATGGTCTCTAGAGCATTCCGGCAGTTCCACCATATATGGTCCCGTCCACCTGCTATACCGGTCAACCTTGCGCAGCTGAGGTCGTAGGGTTGCTGTAGTTCGGATTCCCTTGTACTCCCTACCTGTTTAAGGGTAATATGTTGTCCTGGTATCCATCACCAGGCCTCAATCCTATGTTACGATGAGACAACCACATTGTAACAGAGTCCATTGCTCCATATCTGTTTAGATTTGATTGGATGACATTTTGATACAAAATACACTCAAAACAAAGAGCAGCAAGCATTTTAGAAGATACAGAACAATAGTATCATTTGGTCCAAGACATCAAATGATGTTCTTTTATCTTGGGTAACTACAATGATCGCTCAGTTATCACCAAATAAACATACCAATTACCATTATCAATCATTTCTTCAAATGACAGCTCATTGTAGAGTTACTATTACAACCTTTATACAGAAACTACAAGGTGATGCATTCTGCAAATGCCCTTCCATGGAGATGGCACACCTAAGATTGTTGTACCAATTCTTCTAAATTCTAGGCTGAGGCGAGGTAGGTGATGATTTCATGCCATAGGAATACACCCCAACACCACATTTTTTTCCGAGACGTCCAGCATCTACATACTGTACAAGGAGAGGGCACGGGAGGTATTTACTGTCTCCAAGGCCAGAATGAAGAACCTTCATTATCAAAAGAATAGGACAAAAAAATTAGCCTCTAATTATTATAATTCTTATATTAATAACATATCTAACATTCTATATAGACTCCACGTATTATATGCTCTCTCTCTCT